ATTAAGATGCCCATAACTCGGTCAAATTTGGGCAGAACTCCCAAAAAATTTTTTCATAACCACAGTTTGATGTACTGAATCCGAATATGTAATAAAAAGTATAGGTCAAAAAATTTCACTTAATGGCTCTCTAAGAAAATGCTCGATGTTCTGATGCAGGCTCTCTTAAGCAATCATTTTAAACACTTTATATTGGCGAATGACAATAGCAAAACAGGAAAGCATTACAATAAAAAGACAATTGATCGACTACAAATAATGATCGGCGGTGCATTGCCAGAGGGGAAAGAAAAAGACTTGTTAGCTAAGATTATGGTTGAAATTGAAAAATTGTTGGCAATATTTTTAACAGAAAAAAAGCCAGAAAGAAAGAATGTGCTCGAGACAATTTTTTCGAGTATGGTTCGTGGGACGTTAAAATGGATTAACGGCAGACCAGAAACTGACCTTGCATACAAAAAACAGGTTCGTGTTGAATTAGAAGCAAAACCGGTATCATTTGACCAACTGAAAACAATCTACTTCATTTGTCCGAAAGAGCCAATACCAGAGGGTGCCATGTCCCAAAACTTAAGGTTTAATCACGATGAATCAGTCTACATTGATTTTTCATCTCATTTCGTGCCCGATATGACAATATTAAACGAAAAATCGAGTGGAGACCTTGTGCTCAGGATCGAGTGTCCTGCCTGTTCGCCAAAATACAGTGCAAAGCCGACAGAAAATGGACTGATGATTATTCAAGGAGAAAAAACTGGTTGAAAAAGCAGACGACGTCGAATTATTTAAGATAAGAAAAGAGGGGAAATTTGAGATGGTTATTCCTCTCAATAATCTAGCGAACAATAGAATGTTGGATTTTGGCAGTATTCAGAAATCGTATGAAGACGGCAGGATGATAATTAAGGTCAAATATCATCCAGAATATATTGACGATAGCTACGAGTTGTGATCCTCAACAACAATATTGATATTCAAGGAAAATGTTTTTTCCACTTTTTCACTTGAAATATTCGTCGAATTAATTCTCCTGATGTGAAACGTTCTTGCACCCGCAGTCTTGATGTGCATTTTACGAAAGAAGATATTATTTTATCGTGCAGTTGTAGAATTTATTTCCATGTGTAAACAGTTTTTAGAAGTAAAAGAAACGGCTTGGTAGCTTTTGATAAAACCTTTTATATAGTCATAAAGAAATCAATGGGAAGCCCATAAAATTCTCAACAAACCACTACTTTGTATTTTTAGAATAGTACTTTATTACATTTTTGAGGATGAGGGCGCCTTTTCTTCGATCAAAAACCGTAGGAATCGGATCAGTGAGCCATGTAGACCAATTCTGTACACAGTTCAGGGTATCAGAGCCGCTTTTTCTGCGTTTTAGTGGATATTTATTTGTAAAAATGCCTAAAAACTTTAGCTATTAATGATGGTTTGGGGTGTTAGTATACTCAAGTCGACAAGCTCTGGCGGTTGACTATTTCAGATTTTAATTTCGGGTTTTGGGGGTGTTAGTAGATGTTCTCACGCTTTATAAATATTCACAATATGCTATTCTTAGATTATTTAATGGTCTGCTATTGATTAATCGAAATCGATTTGATACTTGATTTAGAGATATATCAGATGGATAATTAGAAAGCTTTTTAGTATGATATTCGTAGATGGTAATCACGCCCATCATTCTCGCCAGTTTTCAAACTAGGCGGATATACCTGTAAATGCGGTCAAATATTCACCGAATTTCTTCTAAGAACTTCAGACATTATTTGACTATTTTCTTTCCACTAAACAATGAGGCAAACGCTACCTCACAAACAGTCGAAAGTTGACAAAACTCTTAAAGTTCAGCATTCGTACATTTCCTACACCTTTTGAAATTTTTAATGGTAAACTTATATTTAAGAAAATACATTCATGTACACTGCAATAAAAAGTCGCTTCAATTTGAAGTAATCTATAAACACGTTTCGCCTTGCACAGCTATCTCCATTGTGTCCTAGAGGCTCCACTGCTACAAATAATAGTACACAAACACAATAACAGATGCGTACTTTATAATAAAGACACATTTAGCTGTGTGCGTTACGAAAGGTTCCTCGTTTAGACGCCGGTCGCAAACTATCAACTAATAGTCAAAGGATTCGTAGACGCTTGAAGCCATGTCCACTTTCATCTCATACTGTTTGGATCGCAATAAACACTAATAAAAGACGTTTATTGATAGTCCCAAAGGGTAAAAACCTCACTTTAAGTGTGTGCACCTCCGAGTTAAGTGTCACTTAAAGTGGTTAAGTGTCATTTCAAATTCTGCATCTTTCTGGAAAGTCAAGAAATCAGCTCTATATGTTTTGAGATCTGAAATGTATGGACTGCAACTGTTCCACGTCATACGAGTCTGTTTGTTTTCATCATTTTAATGAACAAAGCCAGAAAGCAGCTATAAATATCAGTAAAAAACCGAAAACTAATAACTATTTCTTTCAGTATAAATCAGCCGATTTAGTGACAAGACAATAGTTATTTTTCTTTCTTTTTACTGTTGTTATTTTACTATGTATAGACCGGCGATGGATTTATCACAGCCTTTCTCTTTTTCTATTGCTAATCGTTCGTTTAGTTATGGATGCTACTCACTCGAAAAGAACGGACAAAATGTGACGAAGTTATGAGCGAATGACACATTTTGGTATGAGTAGATAGCTTAGGATCGCCTGATTCCGAATATGTGCTTTCCAATCGTTAAATATCACTGAGAGAGAACAAAGAATCACGGTTACATGCAAAGGTACTTCGTTGGGTGGTACTCCATATACATTTCGTGTAGTTCAATTTTCTCTCGAACGATTCGATCTCAAAATAGACATTTATACACCATTCGATAGAG